TGCTGGAGTGGTTGCCTATGCCATTACTGATTATTCNAGTTCATTCTTCTCCTCTGCTGTTTTCATGTTGTGTTTGGTTGTAATTTTTGTTTGCGTAATTATTGGACTTTTCATTTATGGATTTAAAATTTATTGGAATTTGAGAAAGGTTTCGAGAATTAATTTTTTCCAATTCAGATTTACTAGATTTTTGGTGGCTTCTTCATTCTTTGTAATATTTCCAGCATTTTACATGGTTTTTGATATTGCCACAAGTATTTATCAGAGTGAGAGTGGTCTGTATCCAAGTAATCGATTCTATTACTTGTATTCTCCATTTATTACAAGTATTTTCCTTCTAGCTTATGGATCTTCATTGATTTATGTTTTGTTTCCATCAATGAAATTATTAATGGAAAGTTACCGATTGTTTGTGTATTGTACATTGTGTTGTTGTGGAAAATCACCAAGAGTTAAGGCATTTATGAAGAAACATCAAGAATATAGAGATGAATATGAAGGTTCTTGGGATAATTTGTCTGAAAATGGAAGTGTACAAGTTGGAAGATTACCTTATTTAGTAACTAAGAGTCAAAAATCCTTAAAATCAGTCGAAGGAACAACATTTGACGATCTGAGCATTAATTTGAATCATTCCAGTATTACAATTAATGGAGAAAATTTACAAAATTTGGATGCCATTCCAGTAGATGATTCAATTTATTATGAAAATCAAATTGATTCATCTCCAAAAACTGAAAAACAAAAAGAACTTTCACAACCACTTCTCTAATAGACTTCCGGAAAAGTCAAAAAGAAATAAAAAGGCGCCTTTTTAAAAAAGTGGTTTGAAAAATGTTTGAGCAATTTTTGAAATTTGTTTGAGCATAATTCAAGAAATGTTTAAACCTTTCCTGCACATTTATTGAAGCTTTCTTTTTCCTGATGTCAACCTTTTCTTTACTGCATTTGCTGAAGTTGAAAGGTTCCCTAATCTTGCTGATTCTATTGTTGATGGAATGGAAGATGTTGAGGAAGTGGAAGAAAATCTTAATGAAACACCATATTCTGAATTAAGCATGAAACAGGAACAAGAAAAAAGTGTGAAACAAGAAAAAATCCAGAAGAGGAAGAGATCTGATTTGAACATCACTCCACCCAGAAAGAGAAAAAACCTGAACCTTATCAAAAAGAAAACAATCATCATGCCAAGAAAAGTTGAGGAGCCCAAAAGACCAGAGCTTTCGAAAGATTTCGTGATTGATGTAAAAAAATCCATCAAAACTACAGTGACCCGAGATGGTGACATTCAAAAACCTTGGATCTCTTAAGGAATTGGTGGATTTTTTGGAAAAGGATATAGTTAAGAAAGAGAGTGAGTTCAGAAGTTTGAGGGCCCTTGGGGTTTTTTCAGCAAATACTTGAGCGTTTTGAGAATTTGGTTGAGAAATAATTAATCATTCTTGAGGAATTGTTTGAAAACAGTTTGAAAGTTGCTCAAGATTTTCTTGAACAAACTTTGGATGTGTTTCAAGTAGTTTTTAGGTAAAAAAGGCACCTTTTAGGCACCTTTTAGGCGCCTTTTTGCAAATTAGCGTGAAAGTACCTTAAAAAAGTCGACTTTTAGCAAAACTTTTTCCGGAAGTCTAATATTTAACAATATTTAAATACTAATTTGTAAACCACGTACTAATACACTCTAATATTATTACATTCAACCATGTTCCGATTTCTTCTATCAAAAAAATGTCTCTCGATCAAACTTCATCTCCACCACCTCCAGAATCCAACAATTTACTCTCCTGTTGTTCCTTCAATGTTCATCACTTCTCCACTGCATACGGAAGGAGTAACCTCACCGAATTATACAAATATTTGCATAAAAACAATTTCGACATTGTCTGCCTGAATGAAGTTTATGAAGATAGCGAGTATTCTCATCCTCTGAGAGATTTGGTTTATGCATTGAATTCATCATTACCTGAGGAGGTGGAAGTGGCTCGGCCCTATCAATATCGGTCTGGACCCACTAATTATGAGTCGAATATTATTCTGAGTAAATATCCAATTCTATTTCAGGAAAAGAAAGATGTTGGAAGAGGTGAAAGATCAGTACTTGGTATTAAAATTGATCATCCATTGGTGAGGAATGTATTTGTGACTCATTTGGATCATGTGAGTGAAAATAAGAGAGTGTTACAATTGAAGAGAGTCTTGTCTTTTATGAAACACTTTATTGATAGGAAATTGGTGGATTATCCAAACGATGAGAATAAGAATTTCATTCTTCTTGGAGATTTTAATTCAATGAGAATGGATGATTATACGGATAAGTTTTGGGATTATCTCATTAAGCAGAGAATTCAATATGGTTGGGAAGCTCCAGATACCCAAGTTACCTCCCTATTATTTAATGAACCAACACCAGAAAGTCACTCCACAGAAGAAGCTGACGAACCTAAACTAAAAATGCCACTCGGGATG